TTAGATATTTAGAAAAAGTATGATATATAAAATAAATATAGTATATATATATATTAAATTTAAAAAAAAGAGTCAAGTTCATATACTTTCTTTGTAGTTTTTCCTCTTTAATATTTTCTCTCTCTTTCTCTCTCTCTTAATTTTTAGAGAAGAGTATGTCTAGTCTTTGTTTAATCTGATATAGCAGAAACGTATTTAGAAGAATGTTATTTTCAAGAAAGGGTTGACAAACGTAAACACTTTAAGAACGAGGCAAGAATTTCAATGATGGATTTATCGACCGAAAAAAAAATTTCTTAATGCGGTGTTTAAGAAACCAATCACGTACACGTGGGAAGGATTGAGAGGGATTAAACTGGTTGGATCCCACACGCGTGCTCGCGTGTAGCTTCCTTTACGATGAAGGATACGCATGCTTTGGCACATCGTTTTACGATTAGCGATTTAATTTATCATACGCAATATATTGCAGTAATTTTTATATAATCATAATTTTTTTTATTCATCGACACTTGGCTGCGTCAGGAAATTATAGATCATCGTAATAGGTATAATAGGATACCTCTATTACGAGTACGAGAATTCTCCTCGGCAAAGCTTGTTACGTATATTCTTCTAATGTGACATAATTATAGCTTTTCTAGATCACGTTCTCAATCATGTAAGTGTCCATGATTTATGCAACCATTTCACATGAAGCAACTAATGAACATTGTAAATTTTTACCTTACAATACGCAATTTCTGTTTTAGTTAATGAAATATAAATAACCAAAAGTGTTCAATGGTTAGCTGTATAAATCAATTTATATTTCGTAGCACTTTTGGCGGGGAAATAAAAAATTAAAATTATAAGACATAAAACTGTCATTATATAAGAATGAAACTGTCACTATATATAGTCGAGAATAATACTTTTGCGCTATGTGCGATCGCCGGAAGATTGATAATGAGACACGCGTGCGAGCTCCTTTCCTCGATTACATCACGTGGGAAGTTAAATGCGTAGGACGCGTTAATGCGATGGCACATAAAAAAGGAGAAAGAGACGGACAGAGAACCGGGCCGCGTTAACTTTTACATTTAGGCATCGTCCACACGCATTTTACGAGACGACGACGCGCGGCGACGAGCGGGGAGATCATAGATGACCACAAATTGTCCGCAATTGGCAGGAAGTTGAGGCAGGGGGACCGTTTGTGCGCCCCTTTGCACTCTCCTCGATGTACATTATTTTCACGCAGCCTTCCATTTCGTCCGTCAGAAATTGATCTCGGTGCCGATATTAATCTCTTCACACGATATATATGTCCAATATTATCAAATATTCTTTAATCATATTTAAATGAGATAATAATTAATCTTTGGAACGCAATAAATATTTTTTTCCTCTAAACTTCTCTTGATATATAAATATTTTTTTATATAAAATGTAAAAAAGATATATTCTAGCTGTTTATTCTCGCGGGCAATTTTTAATAATAATGGCATAAAATGTTATAACACAAGGGAATGCTTGTGTGTCTTATAGATATTGGAATTTCTATAACAGCTATAGGTGGGATAAAAATAAGAGTATATCTCAAGGTCTATAAATATATCTTACTTTGAAACGCCACAGAGAATAGGGTAGCTTTCTTCCTTCCGCTATGGTTATGGTGTACGCTGTAAATGTCACAGAGATTACCCCTGACGCATGAAGCGATCGACCGTGAAATAAAAAAGACGCGATCGTAGCAAGGTAAATTCTACGAACGCTTTTTTATTTACGAATTCGATGATAATGACGGGCATTTTTTTTCATCAGGTCCGTATTCGTTCCATTCCAATCTTCGTCGCTTCTTTCATTCGCTCGCGTTCTCCTTTTTGCTCGAACGGTTTCATCCTCGCGAATGATGTTTGATATGATGTTCTTATTTAACGGGCGACAAGTGGCACGAATATTACGACGGTGGGTGGAGTTCTGCGTGAGAGCCGTGCTTGGTCGTCGCTCTTGATAAGGCGAATCAATATTATTCAATTCTGATAACGGCCCTCATTGCGGCAAGTAGGGAGAGAACACATTAATCGCGCAATGAGCTGATAACAGATTTTCCGTTAACTCGCGAATGCTCGGCCGAATCGGTGTCTCATTTCTTATTAAAGAGTGATTCAGATAAATCTTTTTGTGTCAAATATGTACGGAATTTGCAAAGATACTGAACAACTGTTCGTGTAAATTGACGGTGCGCGAGTGTGTGTGTACGATGATGGATCCATTTACGCTGATACTAATGAGAACGATATGGTTGATACACTTTTAGATTATCATTTGTGTTATTATAATTATGCAGTCTATCAGGTAAAAATTCATTCAAATGCTTATTTATGGATAGATACGAAAATTTCATACAAATAATCCTATATCAATAGAAGATGAGAAGTATATCAGAGATCTCTTAATTAAACATAAAGAGATACTTCTTTTTTTAGTAATCATAGTTTTCCAAATAATTTCATTCCTTTGCCTCGCACTCTTTGTAAGAATACAGGCGAGATATTAACAATTCAATGAAATTATTCGACCCATTAATTATGTTAATTGCAACGTATCGTGAGCGACTCGGCGATAACAATCGGTGGAACGAAAGCGCCAGAACAACGTGAGATTGTAATAGATGATGTTCGCTGTAGCTGATGTCAATCTGATATATATATTTATACATAGTACAGATAACTGCTATTCAACATCTTTCTTTTTCTCTTATCTCGTGCATTATTCGATCGAATATTATTTGCATATCCATCGTCTGAACTTAAAGTAGAAAAATCACATCGACCGTCTCTGTCATTTAAAATTCCGATATGCTAATACTTTTGACATTTGTACACTGTGGGAAGAACACAGTGGGAAGAACCATTTAATCTTCTGCGCGTGCCCGCAGTTTTTTTTCTATCAGTATATTACAAAACTATTATTATACGTAGAAAAATTACACACACACACACACAAAAGTAATAGAGTGACATTAACAGAAAATAAAAATTAGTAGAAAATTAATGTGGAAAAATACATGAGAGAGAGATCAGTAACAGAAAAATATATTTGTTACAGTTTTAGAATAATTTGTAAGCGAAATCAAATTAGATATAAATTGTATGTGTGTATAATAATAGCGCAAGAGTTTTATTTTCTTAATCAGAAGAGAAAGCGCATAATTTATTGTGGGAAGTAGTCTGAGATAATGTAACTTTATATGCGTGAGTAAGAATTTCTAGGAAGACACAATTCGCAAAAGTGAAGATTTTTATATACGAGACCTTTCAGCGAACGTTACCTTCACCTTTGTGGCTTAGCGTTCCGTGTTCTACGAGAGGTCTCAACCGAGATGTAAAAGGCTAACAAAGAATAGTGACGCGACACGATAGCGTGAGGCGAGAAAGAGACAACGAAGAGAGAACGACCAGACATCGCTCGGGGTATCACGAGCGACCTTGAGGATGTCTTCTTTTTATTCTCGCGGTTCGATAGGTCATCTACGGGAAAAGTGACGTGTGACGAGCGCAAAACATCCTCGCCTCTCCGCAGGTATCACTTCCAATCTCCCGTCGCGATTTACGTGATCGCAATCGTGATCGCGTGTAGGTGAGCGGCTTCAACCGGAGCGAAGCGGCTGTCCCGTTAGCGGACCTAGAAGGTCCGCGAAAGACCGAACGGGAGCCAATCGTATCGGCTCGTGCTCGAACATATCAGAACGGATCCTCATCCGACAAGAATCGTCTGATCGAGTCGATCGACAGTCAGTCAGTCAGCTGGGACGATCCTCTAGATCTTCCACGCTGCTGCGTTCGAGCGGGATCCTCTTCGCGCTCGCACGTCGATCTCTTCTCGTTCTCCTCCTCCGCCTTCTCTTCCTCCTCCTCCACCATTAACTCCCGTTCCTCCACTTTGTTTCTCTTTCTCTCTCTGTCTTTCTCGTCGCGGTTTTTTCCCCTTCCTCTTTTCCTCGCACGATCTATCTTTCTCAGCTTGCTCCTCGAACGTAGTATTTCCTGGTGATCCGTGATGCGTACCACGAGACTCTCGCGCTGATGCGCATGGTGGGTTCCTTATCATAGTAATTATTGTGTAATAATAATAATAATAATAATATTCGTGAGAAAGATAAGGAAGACGGAGACTTTTCTATGTGTTTGCGCGGTAGAAGGCGAAAGTTGCTGATTGTGTCGATGTAATTAATACTCTCCGTGCATTCTCTCCGTGATTGTTGGTATAGCCCCGGTGCCTCGACGGCACATTACTGTCTAATGTCAATTCGGGAAGTGACATTACTCTCGCGAGTTTCCTTATTGCCGAACAATATTATCCTCTTTCTGTTTACAATGCAAATGGATCACATTCTACGTTTTTGCAGGAAACATTGCCAGCCCCTTCAGAGTGAAAAGTTGATGAAGGATCAAGACATGGGCCGCACAGGATACACGTGCATCAGGCACGTTTTCTGCTCCCTCAACGTTTTAATCTGGGTACGCTTTGTTTACGTTATTTTCATAAAATAGATGTTATGCTGTCTTTTGATTTTAAATTGCACTATAATAAAAAAAAAAAAAAAAAAAAAAAAAAATAACAAAAGAGCAAAAGTATGACTTTTTCAGATATATGTGTCATTTTAGGAAAATCTCTCATATATTCAATTTTAAAATCAATTAATTTATATTCGCGAATTATTAGAGAGCAGACACTTGAGTTATATTTAAACGTCTCGTTCACGCTGAAAAGATAGGTGTGAGAACATCTCGACGAACTCTCTTGAATGAAATGTTTCGTTGGCACACAATTCATAAACACGTGCAGTGCAGGCACGATTTCAATTGGTCAGGAATGACAAATGAAACAATGCAGCGAACACACATGACTAATAACGGCCTACGCGACTCGGCTATTAAACTGACGCGCTTTTGTAATTCGCTTTCCGCCGCATTCTCGGTTCCCTTCCCACTTTGTCATTCCACTTGAAATCGTCCGTCGTCCGCGACGGCTGTATCGCGATGAAAGCCTTAAATAGGGCGTTGAACCGTGCTCTATGAGCTATGAACTTACGGTACCCAAGTCGATGATAAAAGCGCGGTGCGTGTACTGAAAACTGTTACACGCCTGTCTCATTAGACTCTACTACTGTTAAACGCGTGCCACCTGTTGTCGCGCGCACTTGATTACTTGCGTATTCTAATTGCTTTTCACTATACAAACTCCGCAGACGGTGAAAGATATACATATATATTATTCAAGATGTAGTTATTTAGAATGAATGCTGCGTTAGAAAAATATGCAAAATTACGAGGGCAAATATTTCAATAACGATCTAAATAGAATATCCGACGATATCAATGTGACACATATATGTATATTGCGGATTATATAACGCTCTCTTTGCAAAAGTACCGTGTCGTGCATGCTTCATTGACGGTAATTAGAAAGTACGGACGCGCTTTTGTACAATTAGCTATTGAGGTCGCGTAACAGTGCATTAATTTCTTAATTCATGCTGCGTGAGTTGCAATTTATAAATTATCCTCCCACTGCGGTCTTTTCCGCGCGTAAATACGTTATTTCGCGAATTTCCGCCGACGTGTTACGCGCTCGTGCGCGTAAACACGTTCCTTCGTTCGCGGCCGCGTTCGATGACGCAAGGTAGGTCGCGCGAGACATCGGATGTATCGCAATTTTACGGGACTCGCACGAAGCTGTAAGGTCAATATTCACCTGGCCGCTTGGTCGACTTCCCGTCACGGATGGCGCAGTGGGTTACCCACTCTGGCTTACCTAGAAATTCTATACTCTCTCTCGGACGTGGGCTAGCAATCTCTCTTTATTTGCGAATGATTTAGCAGGTGAACGATGGTGTACCGTTATGCGTGTACAGTTGAACCAATTGCCAATTGATACTTTTTATCGGTTAATAATTTGTATCACATCTCGTGAAATTTTGCTACTTACTTTCCAAGCATTCGTTGGCGCATTGACCGTGAAGTAAATCTATCCGTGTTTGTCGAAATAGTAGTTTTATTAATTTCCCTTTCTCTTCGACGATTCGAAAAATTACGGTACTTTCAAGCTGACAACCTGCTTTGCATTTCCGAATTTGTTTAAATAACGTGTTGCATAATCGATGCATTGTATAATGTCGATTATGTATTATCAGAAGCACAGCCGGATGAAAATAACGCGACATTGACCCAGTAAACTCACGTGTTATGAGTATACATGTGATAAGAATCTCTTTCCTCATACTTTTAATTATAATCTCCTAGATCTACACCACAAATTAATGTCAGCAACTGACATTAACGCGATAGCGCGAGACTACTGTGTAGAATCATTATTATTTCTTCAGTTTTCCACTGCTACGTAAGTAGCTAGTTAATTTTATCAACGTATTTTTTTTAATTAATAAAAATATTTTTTGTCATCGACGACATAATAAAAACTATATATACATTTTTGACAGAATATCTTAAAATTACTGTGTGATATGTAATTTTCACTACAAATTTTGAATCGATTTTTTCTTCAATAAAAATCGGATATAAAATAGAAGCTGTAACTGACAAAAAAAAAAAAAATTTTTTTTGATGATGTCGGAATATCTGGTTTAACTATCTCGACAGGTTTAGTAAATACGCTCGTCGAATGTCATACACATTTATGACGCTTGACGCGACTCTGATATGCGTAATTCTTTTTACAGTTATGCGCTTGCGGAATTTTGGGTGCGGGCCTTTGGCTGCGGTTGGCTTATTCCGGATACGCGACCTTGGTGCCGCAATATAGCTTCGCATCGGCGGACTCGTTACTGCTCGGCGCGGGATGCGTCACATTCGTCATCGCCTTCTTCGGATGCTGTGGCGCGTGGTTTCAGTCTAGATGCATGCTGATCACGGTTAGTACAACGTGATCCATTGTAAAACGCGTGCCTCTTGCAAAAAGTACGTAAATTATAGTGTACTAGGTACACGGTACACGCCCAACATACGAGACTAGTAAGCTGATCTTGAATATCTCTCTTGTCAATAGAGAGATCCAAATTTTTACTGTCTTGAATAATTTCAAACAAGACTGTAATGTACTACATTTTTGGTAAATCACTATTTTTTAATTTTATAAATTACTTTTTTTTTTTTTTTTTTATTTAAATGACACATTATTAGGCTTTTCGTATTTTCAGGATAAAAAAAATTCTACAGAAATATTCTTTTTGCTACAAGTCGTGCATGTTAAACTTGCCGCGTAGTATACAACGGATCGATAATTTGTTTATGTATACAAGGCCGTGGGTGTGTAATGAGTGCACAGCAACCTTATTACATAGAATATGAACTGCATGTGCGCGTGAAATGTATATGAAGTACAATATTTTGAGCATAGATGTAATCAAAGTTAGTATCCATAAAGCAAAAATCGTGTTGTAAGAAATAATTTTTTTTGATATCTCTACTTTTTTTATTCTCTGGAATTCAGAAAATAAGAAGTGAGTTTACATGCATATTTTGTAATTTTCAGTATTTTAGTCTGGTGATATTTATGTTCCTCGCTGAGTTCATGCTGGGAACTTTGGCGTTCGTGTTCAGGGAATATGTCGCGAGAAGCCTGAAGGAGGAATTACTCTACGGTATTGAGAAGCATTACAATGTCACCAGGGAACCAGGAACTCTCTCCAGCATGTGGGATCACATACATACGGAGGTTGGCGTGTTCAATTAAAGTATTATTCATAAAACTAGTAGTGGTAATAGTATTTTATTATATTGTTTATGTTGCGGATTTTTCAATTTAATGTAAAAAAAAAAACTTTGCACATATCGCGCGGTTGAAACATTAATTACGGAACATTAGAGATAAATATAATATGTAAATGTTTTTAGTTTCATTGTTGCGGCGTACGCGACTACACGGATTGGTTCCAAATCGAGGCCTGGCCCGAGGAGGACCGGGTGCCGGATACCTGCTGCATACAACGGGAACGGTACTGCGGTCGTCTAGATCCGGAAGGTCGCAATAAGGAGGGATGGTACAAGGAGGGATGCGCGACCGCCATACAAATGTGGTTAGTCACCAGACTCCACGTGGTGGGTACGGTGGGCCTCGTCGTTGCCTTTCTTCAGCTGTTCGGTCAGGTGGCCAGCATGATCCTCTTCTGCACGGTCAGACACAAGAGATCCTCTCACACGTACAAGAGTTACGATACTACCAATACCTAGAATTTCCGATCGATCTTGGACGAGACCACCGTCTAAGATCGATATAATACCTTCCTCGCGAGTGTCTGATACCCGTTCCACGCAGCGGGAACGAATTTTTTCAGAATCGTCGGTATTGGTCCTCCTCTGACGATTTTCACGGAAGATCTTGCCTTTCGATCGCACCGAATTCGCAGATATTTGTAAAAATAACAGACAACGAGTTAAACGAAGATTTGTTTAAGAAAACTCACGTCAGACGAAAAGCATAAAACGAGATTACATTATATTGATGATTATTGAGAACATTACTCTATAAATATATTTTACATATGAGGCGTTTTAAGCAAATGAAGACACGTTGAGGTTTTAGCTGACCAAAAAGTTTCCGCTGTGTACCAAAAAATATGATAAGTATTTAATTGATGGTTTTCCTTCCTTTAGTCTGAATGCTGATAATGTTTTTTGCAATCTCCGGTGATTAATATCGAGACTTCTCGCTGTCAGATTTTATGTCGATTGATAATTATTTATATTCTTAAGCAACAGTATCATCCGTGGATCCTTTTTAACCAATATTTATAGATAGTAGTGTAAGTAGTATCTGGCAGCAGAAAATTAATTTGTATGTGAGAATAATTTATGTAATGATGTGAGAGAGAAAGAGAAAGAGAAAGAGAGAGTATGAGAGAGTGAGTGAGAGAAAGAGAAAAAAGAGAGAGAATCGAGATTATGATCGATCATTAAATTGAATTTTTCCTATGTAATAAATCTATCCTGCTTTAATAGTATTGAAGATGACTCTAATGCTCGGTTTTTTCACACCTCCCAATAGCTATCTTCCAGATAAAGATATCCGATAACTAAAAATCCGTTTTCTTCACTGAAACCTCTGGTTACGTATCTAACGGATAGCTATTCTTCATAAGATATCGGCTACTTCGGGTTCAGGATAACTTTATCTGCCAGATACAGACTTTACAGAGGTGAAGAAAACCGATTTTGCGAGATATCTGCTGGATAAAGTTATCGAGAACTTATCTAGAAGTGAAGAAACCGGGCATAATTGATATATATTCAGTATTCATTCACGAGAAGTAATCACTCTTTACTTTACTATAACTAATTGTACGCCGCATCGATTCTCGACATCAATAATTGGGAACAATTAGATAGATAATAGATAGATAGTGCATGATTATGTGATTTAGTCTCTCGGATATCCAATTGAGATTATAGATTATCAAAGTATCTTCAATGTCATAAGCATGAACTTATGTTATAAGGGATTTTATATATCTAATATATATTAATTAAAGTAAAACCTCTCTCATATGTGTTATAGCTGATATCACCGAAGCAAACGATTGAGTATAAAAATATATTCATGATTTAAAATTTATTAATAATTTAAAGTGATGTTGACAATTATACAATAAAGAATCGAAATGACAAGACGGTAATGCATTACAAGTGTATTAAATATAAATTATTATTAGTAATAAATAATATATTTATATGTTAACATTGATCATAAATTTTTAATATATTTTAAATATTTTAATACAATGGCAAAAACCTCGAAGTTTTACATTTTTTAAAATTTTATCTACCGATACTTGAAAGATTTTTTTCAATGCTATATATTAGCTTACAAGAGAATATTAAATTAGATAAATTAGAACATCATTTTAATTATTCGAATCATAATCCGGAATATTCGCACAAAGTATACATAAATAAACACAAGATATTTATTTCAGTTACGTTGCATAAGATTAAATTTTAATGTATTAAAATTCGTGAAAAGAAACAAGTCAAATAGATATAGCCATAAATAAATAACGCTATTTATCGGTTGCGTGCTAATGCTTAGTATAAATCGCATCATATCATGGTTTATGGCACCAAGTACGCACAAAGTTGTTGATAAAGTATTGCAAATAGTTGCTAATATTGATATAAGCATCAAAGATATATATTTGATGGACTCTATTAAAATTATTTTGTTCATTATATCTAGAATTAATATTTGTTTTTGCATTTTCTTCGATAACTTTAATTATAGAATTGAGAGAAGGTTCTATGCGGTTTATAAAAAATACCGTTATGTATCGACAAAAATATAAAATATAATATAAAAAATAAAGAAAAAAACTTTAGTTAGACAATATCCTTGAATATATAATCAGAAAATGATATACGTAGATAATATATATGCGAAATAGTTTGAAGTCGATGAGTCAGAATTTAAATGGCATCTCGTAAATGGCATAAAATATTTCTATTTGCGTAAAACTATAAAAAAATGTGAAGATATATGTATATGTGCCCGTCTTACAACAGCGCAAATTCACTTTATATCATAGATTTTGCATAAAGCTTTTATACATAATGTGTTAAAATTAAAAATCCTCTTAATAAATAGATTATATAAATATTGCCATTTTTGAAAATTAATCAAAACAAAATATTTTTAATAAAGATAGGAATATTAGTCTGGAAGACTATTTATTTCATTTTGCTACTCATTTAATCGGCAGGATAACAGTATCATTTTCCATCATTAAATACAATATCAAAAGCGACCATAATAATTTAAAAAAATGGCATTATATGTAATCTGAGATGCACGTACTTTATTAGTATTCCTCCTTATTCTTCTCTCGAGCACGTGCTAAGATAAAACAGAATTTTACAAATAGACTGCATCTAGTACTACAATCAAACAATGATGCGGAGCTGAGTTTGTTCTATTGTAGAAAAGATTGTTATACTTGCACATATTATACATATTTATGAACAAGTATTCGGCTGCGAGAAACAACAAAGTAGTAAAAGAGGTAGATCGCATTATATTTCTTTTATGTAGTCGAGTATTATTTTTTTGCCTATTAATAGTGGACGACTAATTATTCCTATGCTCACGACAACCTGTATATCACGTGTCTTCGTATAATATAATAACGCGTAGAAAAACGCAATTTCGTACGACCTCGGTACACATGTGAACCTTAACATATAGACGATGAGTCAAGTAATATCGACAGTGTTATCAGGATTATTAATAATTATGCATATATTATATAAGTTGTGACGACATCTCATAATTTTCTATTGTACATAGCTAATTAATGAACAAATTCTTAAGTATATAATAAAAATCAAGCGCGACTTGCAATTTGTATTAGTAATTATTAGTCTTATTAGTTATCCGTTTTATACAAGTTGCAATTCAATTATTTACTAGCAATTTGTGGGAATACAAAATAATTTTGTATTAAAATTGTTAATAATTGTTTAACACATACATGATTTATTTACTTCAACTGTAGAATGATTTTATTAGCATACATAAGCTAGCATTTTTATATAAATTATTTAGCATGATTAGAAAGAAATATATCCTCAAATTAAAATTACAATAATATATCTTTTTTATAGATGAACATTTAATGATAATATATTAACAATGTTGACAATAGATAAAGATAAAAAAGTCTATCCTGCAATACAATTATGCTTTATTCATTAGATTTAAAACAAAATTTAATAAATGTTCGGATTAACTTACACCTCACGGATCGTTTTCATTTTTACATATATTGTAAAGAGTACATTCCTAAGTAATACACGCTTTGAATTTTATGGCGTTCTCTTTTGGTTCCAGAGATATGCGATTTTAAATATCATAATTTTCGTACTTACTTGTATCATATTCCTTTGTTATATTTTATTTGCGTGTTTATATTTTTAAATCAGAAATAAGTTTGGGTTAGATTATATCTTCCGGAAGTGAAGCCCCCCCCCCCCCCCCCCCTAGTGGGAATGGAACTCATTGCGTCCACGCATACACTTTCCTATCCACACAACAATTGTGGGGTGGATTTCGCTTCGCGTTGTAAAGTATATGCGTGGATACAGTGGGTTTTGCCCCCCCCCGAATTATAAGATTACATATGTATATTGCTGTAGAATATTTATAATTCTTCTTTATAGTTTATAATTCTTAATTCTATAAAATATTTATTTATAATTTGCACAGCTGTTTTCCTTTCTACTCTTCTTATCCAAAGATCGGACTGTCCGCGAAAAATAATGTTTTACTAATATTGCACATCTACAAATTTAAAAAATATCGTATGTATACATATATATAAAAAGATAATATTAGTACTAAACAATTTATATGTAATACTTATTTTATTAATATAAAATCTTAATTTTGAATTTAGTAATTAAGATATTCATTGATAAATTATGAAATAATCATGAAATTATAAAATAAAAAATGATTTGCGATCAGCTTAGAAAAAATAAATTTCGTATTCCTCAAAGAACAAAAGTTATCGAATTATCGTAGATTATCTTATATAGAAACTGATTATAGAACAAGATCTTCCGCGTCTTGCGAAACATTTTATGCTTTTTTATAATATTTCTTGTATTTTGGTAAGTACTAGTTACACTTATATAATTAATTACACTTACCAGATGTTTAATCCAATATTTGTAAGGCAATAAATCAGTATCATTTAAGATCCTTTGCATATTGTCCTCATCGATGCATATTGTCTTCAAAATTTCAACGAATATTATATACACTAGCAGACCTAAATAAGTTTAATAGCAAGTTGAGTATTTTACTTAGCATACCTCCCTCCTTTCTATATATGCAAAATTTAGATAGTATTGTAGATAAAATATTAAGTAACTTAGATAGCAGAGATTAAGTGGTCCAAAACAAAGTAAAAAAAAGAACTTTACAATTACGATATAAAATCTAATAAATTTTTTATTAACAAGATCAGATGAACCTGGTTTCGGTAATTCTGGAATATTGTCGTTCATATCACTCGTGTCAGGAGATGTCATGTTTCTCGAATGTCCTAATTCTTTTCCCAACGGCTAAAGAAAAAAAAGCTTATTAATTGTTTTTAAGTTTACTAATTTTAGTTAACCATTTTTCATATAAAATAATTATAAATTGAGATTGTTAAATGGGAATATTGAATAAGTAGGTCTCGTCTATCAATCATATTTATAAATTCAAATGTCTAGGATTTTATATTAACCTAGTACCACATTTTTTAATTTTGCAATTAGAATTTGTTAAATTAATCTCCAATAAATCTTATAAATATTATTTAGAAGAAATGCATTTTCAACATTGAATTATTACTATTATTATCAGAAAATTCGTTTCTTCATAATTCTCGTTCAGAACTTTTTACTTACTTGTAAATTATATAAACCGTTGAGAACTCTCAAAGAAGTTGACACAATGTTAGCATTGCTCTGGTAATATAGCGATAAAAATTATTTATAGTAGAAAAAAATATTTAAATTATTATATATAATGCAGAAAAATGTACAGGATATATATACTCGAGATATAGGCGAGTTTACTCTTCCGAAGACGCTTCCGACGAAGAACAACAATATAAATACATGTAACCGCATCGTCATAATATCTTAAAGAGAAAATGCAACACAATTTAAAAATACTATATTTTTTGGAAATAGTATCTTTGTTTTGCGAATAAAGCTAAAACTCGTGGAAAAAGTATTCTGGCAAACTGACGTTCGTTTATCCGGAATTTCCTTATAAGAAAAAATTATATCTTATCGTTTGTTCGAAAATTATGCTAAAGTATAGTCATCATTATTAGGTGCTGTTGTTAATAGAAGCCAATTTTGATATCAGTACATCCATATGTGTGCACGTGTACACGTTATCACAATACTTTGCACTTTTTTTATGTATTTTCAAAACAAAAAGTTTTCATATAGTTACATGACAACATTTTATTTAATCTATGTACATTTTTCGTAATTAATTACATATTTATGTACATTTATATTTATTATTCGAGTCCAATGAGCCTTTTGCCTAATTGATCCAATATTTGGGTTGCTGCTCGAGAAGTTTGTTTGGCGGCATTATAAGGGATCTGGAAATACGCAATTTAATTGTTCTACAATTGAAATAAACAAAAGAAAGTTCAATTTAAAAAAATGTTTGTTTATATTTGTTGCGTTGACAATACATCAATTGCTTTGCAAGATACTTACATTTATTATGGCGCTCAAAGTATTAGCGAGATTTTCGAAACCTTTAACAAACACTCTCCCGAATCCAATAAATGTATCTCCCGTATTACCATATTTTTCTTCCTCCTTAATTCCGTCAACGATTGGGGTAGGCGTCACAATATTATTCAATGCTTGTCTAATATTGTCAGGCTTTCGTCTTTCTAAAATTGCCTGCTCAGTCTCGTTTTCTAAACGAACTGATTCTCTCGTCATCGGATGGAACAAAACTATCGGCGTTGTACTTTGCACCGACCTGCGGCTCTGATTAGGTTTCTCAACCATAATAACTACTGGTTCAACATTATTCTGAGTTTCGCTAGTTAATTGCTATAAAAGAAGAAGGTAATATATATGCCGTAATTTTTTTATTGCAAATTACGAACACATTGTTATTTGATAATAGTAAAAATAAGTAGCGAAAATGAAAAGAAAATGCAAAGGGACAACAGTATGTTAAATATTTGCAACATTAATTGGTTAGCACATGAGAATGACCTTCTCACACTATCCTATTTACAATAGGATTTCAACTATGAATTTTTGTCCATCTTTATAAATCATTCAGCATTACCGATCAAAGAAAATATATTTGATTAATGCTAATTGTATGTGTAATAGTATGTCGTTTACTGTATACTGGTAAAAAGATTACATAATGCCGTACGCATATAGTCATGAGACATAAAATGTCATTAGAAAAATTCGATAGATATAATAATTACCTCCACTCGATCAATAATGATGTTTCTGGCCAATATTATCGAATTGATAAATCTTCCTGTGCCAATTCTAATCGTATCGGCGACACGTCCTAACAATTCCTACAAAACAGTAATTTTGACTTCGCCTGCCGGTCATATTGGCGAATTTCGAGGATCCAATTAGAATTTTGTACAGAGCAATTGAGGAATCTTTTACATAGATTTTTCGATTAATTTAGATTTATTTGTTTTATTGCTTTAAATGTCGATAAAAAAAATATGACGCGTGCCGTCTTTTTACGACATTTGTTTTTTAAAGATTGCATTTTCATATATTTTCGCAAAACGAGTATTACAAGTGCAAAATTTTACCTTTGCTTCTTCCAATCTTGAAGGTAAGATGCTTTCTGCATTATTTTGCATGTCGTTGAGGATAAATTTTGTCGGTTCATCCGCAGGATGAGCACTCAGTGAGTCTAACCAGCAGATAAATGATAGAATTATTACAATTCGCAACATATTCTTTTTTAATATAAAAGTTTCTATAAAATTAATTTTAAAGAGGCAAAGAAGAGTTTTAAATACACACACACACGCGCTTCAAAGAGATTTGCACTTATAAAGATGTTAATCGGAATGATTAGCATAAAAAGTAATTTTTTGGCAAATTTATTTTGACACTTAAATAATTATTAAGTACAAAGTTTTAAGAACATGGCACGTATCTATAGAAGTTTGTCGCTATTGAAGAGCGAAAAACCGACTAACCGGTTTCGCTCATGATGACGAACTTACTTACCAGCTTACGACACTATATTACTTTCTCTTTCGGTATACTTCTTCATATTGGAAATTGGAAAGCGCACACACATCTAGCAATTTAAATTAAAATTACCATAAAATCTTTGACGTTATAAATATTAAATAAATGAAAATATATTCTCGGATATAAAAGAATAGATGTGTAAATTAATAAATAACTTATTTCATTACGCGATTATTAAGGGATTAATTATTATATTGTTAGTAATTACACATAGTTATTATTAAAATAATAAAAGTGATCAGCAAAATATTACCTCAGAATTTAAAAACTGGCCTCATATGAGAGATGTTGCAATCTTATCTGGCAAGAAAACTTTCTATTGCAAAATATAATATAGTATAATATAAATATAAAGATTATCTTCTTTTAGCTGCAAAAACAAAAAAAATTTAATGTAAATTTATTGTAAAATTAAATGTGCTTTTAAGTTGTGGACTTCTATATTGCAAAACGTGCATGATATTATTTATACAAGCGAGCATGTCGCTTTTATTATTACATCGTGTGACTAGTTCACGAACATGTAAAAAACGATAATATTCTGATAAGAAATAAAAAATGACGTCAAAACTGTAAATAAATGTTTAAGTTCCAATATTTTACTAATGTTGCTGCCGCGCATTTTCCATTATTCGAAATTAAAAGCTGTAGAAACTGAGTCATTATACGAAAACGAAATATCCTAATACACTAATTTCAATTTTTAAAAAATTGTCTATGATTAAATTATGCAATTCCATAGATTAAATGACATGTTATATTTATATGCATTAATATATTTTTGTATATTGGCAACATATTTCTTTTTCTAACTTTAGAATTCATTAAATAATACATGGCCTAAGAAAATGAATGTGATGCGCATGTAATGGACGCTTTGTAATATTCTAGTAATTATAAATAGTAGCGTAGCTGGGTTTTGAGGTAATGCAGCTAAAGTCGCAACTTATTTAACTAATTCCTATTAATATCAGTGAAATTTTACCGCTATTTGCATACCGTAACCATTATGATAAAACAGTGCCTCAAATATTGCGGTAGCATTTTACGTTTAAACATGATTATACGAGTTAATGCCTATTGGCAAGTATAATGACGTTGAATAAAGTTCTGACAGAAAAATGCACTTTTTCATACTCTTAGAAATTATTTCAAGGTTCGCTTGTAAGTATATATATA